TACACTGAGCATGTTGACCTTTTGAGAGCTGCTCGACTCATCAGAAAGTGATGAGCATACGTTTGCAGTCGAGAGTGTTGAGCCCCAGTAGTGGGCCATCCACGTCGAGCCGCATCGCCCACTGCTTGCGAAAACGATCCGCCGTGGCATGGATGGCTCTTTACCAATGCGCATGTGCGAGCTTCAACTCGGACTACACGTGCATTCCCTCGTCTCAGCAAGCCGTCTTCATCAACCTCCTGAGCTCTCATCACAGCTAACATAGCGTCGTGAGGACGGCGGTGTCACCACGGCAGTACACACACGCAGCACGTACAAGTACAAGGTAACACAGCCCGCACGAGCATCACGGCCCGGCAAATGCGGCTAACGCGGCGATCCTTCGCGCTCGTCCTTTCAAAACCATGCAGCACCGCTCGAGCATGCCCAAACCCAGCACAGCTTTTCCCCGCATCCAGATTGGCACTAGCAGACTTTCGCGCTCTCCCCCACAATCGCATTACTTTAGCAGGAGGCAGAGTGCGGAGAAGAAGGCGGGGGAATGCACGCGTACAGTCACCTGGCTTGAAAGCTTGGGAGGATCACCAGCCTGCTGCATCTTCTCCATGCCGCCTTCTGAAAGGGCCATCCATGTACACTTTCATGATCGCGCTCGTCGCTCGGCAGATCTTTGGCTCGGTGACATTCTGAGTGCATCATGATGGTGCCATGTGTGGGAAAATTGGGAGCGCCAGACTGCCACACCTTCGGCAGCCGGACCACATCGCGACTTTTTATTGTTAGTCTTCCAGAGGAGGACCCTCCCTCCAAAGCCTCTCCTAGGCAAAAGCTCCCCCTCCCCTTCCTCACCCGCCCCCATCATCTCGCTCCACTCTCCACCCAGAATCCCTATCACAATGCGTTCCATTACCTCCCTGCTTTTGGCTGCGATCTGCGCCGCTATTCTCCTCGGCACAGCACAGAGCTCCGTCATCGAGCCGAGACTATACAATGCCATTCGTTTTCCCGATCCCGTCGACGATCCTTTTTACAAAGCACCTGCCAATCTGGCCAGCCTGAGTCGAGGTGAGATCATTCGCGAGCGACCTGTCGACACGATCGTCGGTGGCGCTGCCAAGTCGGCGCACCAAATTCTGTACCGCACCGAAGACTCTGTCGGTGCTCCAGATGCCGTCGTGGCCACCGTCTTTGCTCCGCACAAGCCAGCTCCCGGGTGAGTCGTGATGCGGGCCAGCGTTGTTGGTGTGCGATTGGTGTGGCTAAGCGACTTTCATGTGCCAATTGGGCAGCCCACCCAAAATCCTTGCCATTCTCTTGCCCCAAGACTCTGCTTCCTTTCATTGCTCCGCCAGCTGGGCCCTGATACCCGGAACGACGAATCCGCTGAATACCGCCGTAGTTGGAGCTCCAAATCTGCCCTCTTTCTACGCTGCTCTGGCGCAAGGCTGGTACATTGTAGCGCCGGATCACGAAGGCTCCAAAGCCACTTTCATCGCCGGGCCTGGTGCCGGTCGAGCTTCTTTGGATTCCATCAGCGCCATTCTCCAACACAAACCCACCATCACCGCTTCGACTGCTGGATACACATCGGCTGCATACGGATACAGTGGTGGAGCACATGCAGCAGCGTGGACTAATCAGCTCGCTTCGTCGTACGGCTCCAGCCTCAACTTTGCCGGTGCGGCGTACGGCGGTACCGTCGCTTATCTGCGACCTGTCATTGACCAACTCAACAAGAGCCCTTTTGCTGGATTCGGTGGCGCTGGCATCGCGGGTTTGGCCAATGCTTACAAGGAGCTGGACGACTACATCAAGACGGTTGTTCGACCCAATGGCACCGCGGCGCTCGAAAGGCTTCGAGGTCCTCAAGGTTGCACTCACAATGAGATTGGCGACTTTTTCGGCAAGGATGTCTACTCCTACGTCACGGTGCCCAATGTTCTCGATGAGCCCATTCCCAAGAAGTACATTGAGCTCAACAATCTTGGCAAGGATGTCTTGCAGAAACCAGCTTTCATCTACCATGCGGCTACGGATGAAGTGATCAACACTCAGCAGATCATCGATTACTACAACGATCAGTGCAAGAGAGGTGCCTCTTCCATCCAGCTTGCCATTGCGGACCCCAGCACGCACTTTGTGCCCGTGAGTGAATGGCAGCGAGAGGCCCACGTCTTGCATGTGCTGAAGTGATTCTTCTCTCCTTCTCGCGGTTCCCTCTAGCTCGTGACTGGCCTTCCGCCCGCTTTCATCTTCCTCAACAAGATCCTCAACGGCAATCTGGATCACAAGGGCTGCTCCATGACGCGAGGCCTCGTGCCTAGCCTTGGCAGCTCAGCAGCCAAGAATGCACTGGGTCAGCAAGCAGTTGCTGCCAGTTTCGCATTGCGTGGCACCAAGATCGGCTCCGAGACCATCAACTTCTGAAAGAGGCTTGCCGTCCAGCTAGCTCGACGTGATTGGCGTGATGCAGAGTACAGATTTGTCATTCGTCTTCTACATGCAATGCGGTGTTGCTCGTCTCATCTAGCAAGATCAAACGATCCTCTTGATTGCCTTTTTATGCGTAGTGGAAAGAAATTTTGCAATATACACCGTCAAGCCTTTTTGGCCACACGCTAAACGCTTCGCAATCGTGACTAGGGCGCCTGCCGTCCTACATACAAGGGAGTTCGCCGGCCGTGCGATGTCCGACAGATTTTGTCTCGTGCCGTCTGCACGGTAGCATTCACCATCCATCGTGGATCATGATTGGGTGGATGATGAATGCTCGCTTGTGGTGGTGGTGAAGCCAGAGCATGAATCTTCTTTTTCTTTTGCATGCAGCAGTCACGAGTCGTGAGTGAGCTTTGCTTGCAAAACGTTCAAGCCACACATCGTAGGTACGCAGCGGCGGCAGCAGGAGGACAAGCAGCTACTGTACCGTATGCAACTCACGACCGAGAGGCACATGATGTCTTTTCATGCAGCAGCAAGCAGCTTTCCCTGCACGAACCTTTTTGCAGGCGGTTCAGCAGGAGCTGGAACCTTAGGAGCACCTTC